TATTAGGAATTACTAAGGCTTCGGCTATAGCTAGACGTAAAGTTAGACGACTACTAAGCGTACCGGCGAGCGCCGCGTACGTAACGTATAGTCGTGCCTTAAGAGGCGCGTAGGCGCTATGCTATTAACAAGTAAGAATTAGTTTTATTACTAGTTAGACGACTAGCTAGCGTTCTATATACTACGACATCTTTTATATATCTTATAACTATTATATTTTACGCTCTTAACGTAATAAATGCCTCTAGTACGAGGGCTATAATCTAAGCTATGTTTTATAGTAAAATGTAGTAGTTATTAGATATATATATACTACTATAGTTTAGCTATTATTATATAACGCTAACTTTATAGTATTCTTAGCATTTTAATTAAACTTAGACATTACTACTAGGTACTCTTAGATAGCTATTAATATATATTTAAGCTCTATCTAGCGGGGGATAACGGTCTATTCCTTATACTAAAACTCGGCTTAGCGCCTACCGTATAGAGACTAGCCTTATTTCGAAGCCTATAATAATACTACTTAATTATTATCGAATAGCTTACCGGCTAACTACCTTACTTAGTAATCCTACTATATCTTCGTCGCTACTTTATTACGGTATACGGCTATCTTACTTTAAATAGCTATAAACTCTATATTTATTACCGCTACGTTCTTAACTATATTCTACTCTACGAAGCTAATATCGATATCCTTCGGCTACTACTCGAAATCCTCTAAGTCCGCTATCTAACGATACCGCCTTATAAAGTTATAGAGCGCTAATACGGCTATAACGAACCGTAACTACTATAGAACGCTCTAGCCCTTATTCGGTCCGTTATAAAAGATTAGCTAGCGCTTCTTATTAATACCGAATAACCGCTTAATTTTATTACGAGCCTAACTATAGCGGAGATTAAATAGCTCTTCCTTCTTCTCTAGCTTTATCTTACTAGCGTACTACTCTCTAAGGTAGTATCTTATACGCTAGYAGGGTACTAGTACGTACGAGGGGTTCTTCGAATAGCTACCGTCTATAAGGTAATATTTCTCTAGAGGTACCCTTATCCCCTTCTTTATAGCCGTACGTAGAATAGTACTATTATTCGCTAATCCTTTATATCTAGGTAGTACGTATATAACGGCTCTATAGAAATTATACGCTATTAATACGTTCTAAGTAACTATTCCCTTACGATTATAATACGCTCTAGCGTTACGAACTATCCGCGACTTAAAAGGAACGTACGAGCCGTTAAGAGCACCTACGTAATCTAAGAAGTATAGCTATAACTTAGTGTTCTCGTATATTAGCGCCGATATTATATCCTCGGCCTATAGTTACCTTACTACGTTACGATAAAGTAGATATAATAGCCGGCTTATCTTAATATAGGCTCGTCGATAACTTAGAAGTAAGTACTAGTATAGAAGGTAGAGGCGATTTATAGTAGTACGGTAAGCGGCTATATTAAGGAATATAACTACCTACTCTATAGGTCTAATATAGTAGCCGCCGATAAGGCTATAATCCCTTACTAATACCTCTACTAGCTCTCGGAGGATAGGCTATCGTAACCGCGTAGTAGTATAGCTATACTCTAGCGGTCCGAATAATATAAGGTTTATCTACTACGTACTAAGCTCCGGAGCTATAAGAGTAGTAATTCGTCCGTATAGCCTATAACGCTTACGCTTAATAGCGCTAGTAATAATACGTAGCGCCTAAAGAATAGTAAATAAGAACAATACTAGCGCGAGATCCTTAATATTAAGCAGCTCTAGCGGATCTATAATAGTAAGGTAATTATAATAACGTAGATATACGAAAGCTAATTACTATAGGGCTAAAAGCGAGCGAAGGGCGACGAAGGCTCGCTTTCGAAAGATACGCATCTTTCGGCTATCTTTTACTAAGATGCGTATCTTACCGAAAGATACTTACTTAGAGGTATTTAGAAAACGACGCTAACGACTATATCATCTTTCGCTAAGATAGCTCATCTTAGCGAAAGATGCTCCGAAGTATTCAAGGCCTCAGGACTACCAAACAATAGTTGTTGGCGTCTCACTCGAACCCAAGGATTTCAATGCGGCGAGGCCTGCATATAAGTGGGGCAGACCTGCACGGAGCACCGCCTTTCAACGCCGCATTGACGGGGTCATGCAATGGAGGCGTGAAGGTGATGAATAGCCTCAGGCTGCATGCGTCTTTCGGAGATCATACCGCATCAACACTCCATCGGTCTCAACGATATGGAACGCTCAGCAGCAATGCACCACTCTATACTGCATGTTCGAAGTTGGAATGGATTTGCTGCCAGGATTATCTCCCCACACCGCTTGCCCCGGATCGCACCTACCCCGCATCACATGCGACCAAGCACGGGTGTATCTTTGAAACCTTATAGTAACGCCGGGAACGGAGCTCAGCAAGCACGTTATTGCATTCTCTTTCCTCCTTCCGTGGCACGAGAGCTGCCTTTCCTCAACAACAACCTCTCCCATCTCACGTCGTGTCTAATCCATCCAACATGGCTTCCAACGCTGAGGCTCCCGCACGAGAGCGTCGCCCCAGCACGTCAGCTCCCATTACCGACTTTAGCGGACCCATTGGGCCTGCTGGCATTACAAGACCCAAACACAAGAGAACAGTAACGGGCTTTGGCCCCGCAGAGATCAAGAGCGTCGAGGCTAGCATCCCAGAACCTCAGAGAGCTGCGTGGAAGAAATACGTGAGTACATCATCCGCCAGAATATTTCAATGCTGACAGAACCGCCCTCAGTCTGCATCCGAGTTCAGGACCAAGGAGGAATTCAACACAGAAGTCGTTCGCCATGTGGAAACATCTCTAGCACGGTCGCTTTTCAACTGCGATGAGGCGTGAGTTGCAATCCATGAAGACCCATCAATCCTAGCTAACACTCCCCAAGAGCTGCATACTCTGGCACAGCATTGGCATTCAGAGACCGTCTGGTCATTGAATGGAATAAGACGCAGCAGAATCAGACCTTTGCTGATCCAAAGCGTGTCTACTGTAAGTACAACGTCTTCAATGCATTGCCTCTCTAATTCCGTCCAGATCTCTCCCTCGAATTCCTCATGGGACGAGCTCTCGACAATGCCATGTTGAACACTGGCATGAAGGATGTTGCTGTTGGTAAGAATTTTATTTCAATCCCCACCGCGATCAATGCGCAACTAACACTACACAGAGGGTGTCCAAGACTTGGGTTTCCGCATGGAGGACCTCATCTCTCAGGAACGTGATGCTGCACTTGGTAACGGTGGTCTCGGACGTCTCGCGGCCTGCTTCCTCGATTCGCTCGCCACCCTCAACTACCCCGCGTGGGGTTACGCCCTCCGCTACCGATACGGTATCTTCAAGCAGGAAATCATCGATGGATACCAAGTCGAGATTCCAGACTACTGGCTTGATTTCAACCCTTGGGAGTTCCCTCGTCATGATGTMACGGTTGACATTCAGTTCTACGGAAACGTGAGAAAGTACACCGATGATAGCGGCAAGCAAATCAGTGTGTGGGAGAATGGCGAGATCGTTACTGCCGTGGCATACGATGCTCCCATTCCTGGATATGGCACAAAGACAACCAACAACCTCCGTCTGTGGTCCAGCAAGGCCTCTCACGGCGAATTCGACTTCACCAAGTTCAACTCCGGCGAGTACGAAGCATCCGTTGCGGATCAGCAGCGTGCTGAGACCATCTCCGCCGTGCTGTACCCGAACGACAGCCTGGAGCGTGGCAAGGAGCTACGCTTGAAGCAGCAGTACTTCTGGTGCGCAGCCTCCCTCTTTGATATTGTCCGTCGCTTCAAGAAGTCGAAGAAGGCATGGAAGGAGTTCCCCAACCAGGTCGCCATTCAGCTCAACGACACTCACCCAACTCTTGCCATTCCCGAGTTGCAGCGCATCCTCATCGATGAGGAGGGCCTGGAGTGGGACGAGGCCTGGAGCATTGTTCAAAAGACGTTCGGCTACACCAACCACACCGTTCTCCCCGAGGCTCTTGAGAAGTGGTCTGTTCCTCTCATTCAGCACCTCCTCCCACGTCACCTCCAGATCATCTACGACATCAACRTGAACTTCTTGCAATACGTCGAGCGCAACTTCCCCAAGGAGCGCGAGATGCTTGGCCGTGTATCTATCATTGAGGAATCGCAACCAAAGRTGRTCCGCATGGCTTACCTGGCTGTTATTGGCAGTCACAAGGTCAATGGTGTCGCTGAGCTGCACTCTGACTTGATTAAGACCACCATCTTCAAGGACTTTGTCAAGATTTACGGTCCAGACAAGTTCACAAACGTCACCAACGGTATCACACCGAGAAGATGGTTGCACCAGGCGAACCCGCGTCTGTCTGAGCTGATCGCCAGCAAGCTGGGAGGCTACGAGTTCCTGAGCGATCTCACCCTTCTCCACAAGCTCGAGGCCTACGTCGATGACAAGCAGTTCCGCAAGGAGTTTCAAGAGATCAAGTATGCCAACAAGCTCCGTCTCGCCAAGTACATCAAGGAAGCGAACGGAATCTCTGTCAACCCGGCCAGCTTGTTCGACATCCAAGTCAAGCGTATACACGAGTACAAGCGTCAACAGCTCAACATCTTTGGTGTCATTCATCGATACCTGGAGATTAAGGCCATGTCGCCTGAGGAGCGAAAGAAGGTTCAGCCCAAGGTCAGCATCTTCGGTGGCAAGGCTGCTCCTGGGTACTGGATGGCAAAGACTGTCATTCACTTGGTCAACAGCGTCAGCAAGGTTGTCAACGCCGACAAGGATATTGGCGACCTTCTCAAGGTGGTCTTCCTCGAGGACTACAACGTGAGCAAGGCAGAAATCATCACACCTGCCAGTGATATTTCCGAGCACATCTCGACTGCGGGTACAGAGGCGTCTGGTACATCCAACATGAAGTTTGTCCTCAACGGAGGTCTCATTATTGGTGCGTGTTCACATCCAGAATGAGGGATATAATTCACTGACATATTTTAGGAACCTGCGATGGAGCCAACATCGAAATCACAAGAGAAGTCGGTGAGGACAACATCTTCCTTTTCGGCAATCTCTCAGAGGACGTCGAGGACCTTCGCCACGCCCACTTCTATTCCGAGTTCAACATTGACCCCATGCTTGAGCGCGTCTTCAAGACCATCAAGGAAGGTGCCTTTGGCGATGCAGGCCAATTCTCGGCTCTGGTCAACTCCATTGTCGACCATGGAGACTACTACCTCGTCTCGGACGACTTCAAGTCATACATTGACACCCAGGCTTTGATTGATGAGGCATACAAGAATCAAGAGGAGTGGCTCACCAAGWCCATTACGAGTGTGAGCAGGATGGGCTTCTTCAGCAGTGATCGTTGCATCGATGAGTATGCTACCGAAATCTGGAACGTGGAGCCTGTTGTCCCCAAATAGCTCGCCGGTGAAAAAGTAAAGATTGGAAAGGTAATTTGGAGATCACAGGGTGGGCAGTGGAGGAGGTATGAGTTATGACAGGACTATACAGGACAGGTAGGCGTTGCATCAAATCTAGGACAGACGGATGATATTGTGTCTGTATTCACTTTGTCAAAGTCTGGAATCACAACACCATCGACACATAACCATTGAGTACGCTGGCAATCTCAACCTCAATAATCTGAACCTCATTCATCATCGTTTGCTTTTGTGTGGTGAGATAGTGTACAGAAGACAGTCGTAAAACCCTCAACCGTCCGTTTCGAGTTGTCCGTCATCTCTCTCAACTCCGATAACGCCTTCGCCGTGATGTAGCGTACCTAATCAACCCTCAGAAGAAAGCTGAGCAATCTCAGCCATAAGCTTCGCCTTTGCAGCCTCAGGCTCTGCCAGCTTCGCTGATTTGACCTTCGCATGGTCAACGTGATCCTCCTCGATTTCACCCTCCTCGAGTTCGTCTTGAGAACCCTCCTTGACCGTGACCTCCACGTCAGCTTTGACAGGATTCACCTCGGGAATTTCCACCTTCTAAGCAGAGGTCTCCTCGGCACCCTTCTTCGTGTCGGTGGAAGTTGGCTCGTCGACCTTGATGTCTGCCTTGATCTCAGCAGAGACATTCTCCTTCTTCGACTCAGCAGCATCCTCCATCTTGGCGTCTTCTTTCTTCTCCTCGACGCCTTCTTCCTTCTTTGGTGCCTGATAAGGCATGCGAGAGGTAGAGCGAGAGCGGCGAGAGCGAGAGCGAGAGCGAGAGAGAGACCGGCTGTCGCTACGATCCCGTCCACGACCTCCACCACGCTGGAACTTGTCGCGGCGGCTGCGCCAGTTGTCTTTGTCCCCGTCATCCTCGTCGTCGTTCTCGCGCTTACGCTTGCCCTGGAATGAGCCACGACGCCCACGATTGCCGTTACCATGGTTGTTGTGGCGGTTGCCTCCATAGCGAGTTGGAGACTTGGGCTTGACGGTGCCCTCCAAAATGGCTTGGTTTTTGCCTTCGACGTATGCCTGCTTGCTCATGACTTCCAGTTCCTTGTCGTTGAACTTGGGCTTCTCCTCCATGTCGAGGAATTGCTTGGCAGAGTCTGCATCGACAAACTCCACAAAGACGGATCCTTTGAAAGTACCATCCTCCTCGCGACGAAGACGCACGCCGCGGGTACCGTATGGAGAGAAGAATCTAACAAGAGTCAATACAACTTCTCAAAGATGGGGATTTGCAACAACATACTCCTCGATATCAAACACAGTCGTGCGTGTCTCCTCGCCGAAGCCCTTGGCATAGATGCTGCGGTTCATGCTGACAGAGGTGAGTRGCTCCGCGTTCTTCTTCACATCGGTGGTGAACTTGCTATCAAGCGGTTCCTTGCGGTACACCTCATCCTGGTCGTTGACCTCGAGAAAGTCACTGCCCTTGACAGCCTCCACGACAGCGCTGAATGGCTGGAAGTGGCGCATGCGCTTGAAGGTATGCAGAGTCTTGAGCGGAAATGGCTTGTTCTCGGGTCCACCAGTCTCCTCAAGCAGGAACTTGTCAATCGGGAGGTTGGACTCGGAGAAGTAGAACTCAACCTGGCGACGAATCTCGGTCTGGTCGCTGCTCTCTTCCTTGCGACCGAAATCGGTGCGTACGTTGTCCTTCTTGTGATAATTACCGCGCGATCCACCACCACGTGCACCGAACCCACGTCCACGACCACGTCCGTTGCCGCGACCACGTCCCCTACCCCGTCCTCCATCGCGACCACCGCCGCGATCGTCCCGGCGGTCACCACCACCACGATCTCTCTTGTCGCGGCTATCATAACGCTCGGGGTTGTCCTCATCGTGCACTCTCTTCGCCTCGCCATTGCTTACCTTTTCGTCGCCGCCATTGCTCTTCTCTGCGCCATTGGACTCCGGCTTGCTGTCGGTGACAGGAGCGGTGTGCGCCTCGGCGGAAGCTTCGGCCATGATGTGCTTTGCTGGTTGTTGAGTGCCGCTGCTGCGAAGAAATTGTGGTGATTGATGTAGCYAGAAGGGTGAGTCAAGAAAGTCGAGAGTAGTCACCGCGGCAAGTGTGGTGAGTAAGAGGTTGGTGAGTCGCAGCTGTCACCAGTTCGAAGGGTAAAGTAAGGTCGAACAGTAAGAAAAAATAGTGGGGTTGCGACAATAGCGCGAAAACTTATCGATCAATGCGGTCGAGATCGTTCACTGCACTGCACGCTTTATATATATATGCACATGTGATTGGAAGTTCCGAGAGGGCGGGGAAGGCGCGAATGCATTTGCTTGTGAATATGAGAGACACATGGTAAGTAAAGTGACTTGGATCACTTTGGATGCTGGACGTTGTCTCGCGGCTCGACAGGGCGCTTGACTTTTTGGCGGGTCGCCCTCTTCCTACTCTATATTTTAAAACTACTGGGACTCGGGCCAAACGCGCGAAAGTCCGATGGCGATTGTGACTTTGTAGAGACAATCCATCGTCCATCTCATCACAGCATGCCTCGCACAAAGCGCTTGCACGCGCTGAAGCGGCCTGTAAGCATTGCCATTCATCCCTCTCCATACCCTCCCTCACTGATGAATTACGCAGAAACTCCGTCAAGATTGGTCGAAATGGAATCTCTACAACCTCACACGCGTGACGACGCCCCCGGCCGCCAACAAGACCTTCTTCCAGCAGAAATGGGCCGCAAAGAGCATGCTGCGCTCATATCACAATCCAGATGTCCGGGAAGGCACATGGACGCGCATGTTTGATCGAAGACTTCCGGCTGTTGTGCCCATGGATCATCGATATCTGGCCAAGGAGGACGGCAGCGAGATGTCCAAGGGAAGAGGAATGGGTGTGGAGAAGAACCCACGTGCGGATCTGGGACCAGATGGGCGGAGGGGACGGGACCGCGGCGCTGGTGTGAAGAAGATTGAAAAGACTCCTTACATGCACATGACGTTCCACCCGCTGGAAAGGCGATTAGACACATCCATATTCCGCGCCCTTTTTGCAAGCTCAACACGGCAAGCACGGCAATTTGTCGTACATGGATTCGTCAGAGTCAATGGAAAGAAGATGATCTACCCTGGATACCAATTAAATCCAGGCGACATGTTCTCGGTAGATCCTGATCGGGTTCTGTTTGGTACAGGAGCGCGGAAAATGAAGAAGACGAGCAATCGATCTATTTTGGATGTGCAGAGGGCGTATGAGAAGCGCCAGGCGCGTGAGGAAGGAAAGGCGGTCGAGCAGTCGCACGGGAAGTCACAAGACGACGATTTCGCAATGGAAGACGACTTGGACAGTGATATGGGTGCTCTGACAATCGAGTCTCATGCTGAGGAAACCACAGCAGAGGAACAACGGTCGAAGTACAGCAAGGATCTCAAAGCGCTGGTGAAGCGTGCAAAGACCATTCTTGGCGACTCCAAACGCGACTTATCCGGCAAGCGAAAGGAAGAGCTACGAAGCTTCGCTCGACAAGTCAAGACCGTCTTCAACACTCTGAAGAAGACAGACGTCGCCGAGACCGAATCTACCCTTGAGGGACTTGAGACCGCCCTGGCTGAGATTCTCACCAAGGTCCCGCAAGACTCCCTCCCTTCAGAYGAGAAGCCTACTGCAGAAGTTGCAGAGGGGGCTTCATCCAACCCACAAATGCAGGAAGCAGCCAAGACGGACGCTTACCGCGCACGAAAAGACGCCGAACTCCTCCATGCGGCGTTGGAGCGCGCTCGCGCAAACCCAGTAGATGTCAGCAAACCCTATGCTACACCGTGGGAGCCGCGAGAGTTCATGAGTGCCTTTGCTTTCATTCCAAGGTATCTCGAAGTCAATCAGAACATCTGCTCGGCGGTGTACCTACGGCATCCCGTCGCGAGGCCCGGGTTGGCCGAAGTTCCCACACCGTTCTCGGCAGAGACTATGGCGTTGGGATTCAACTGGTACTTGAGGAGAAGATGACACTGGTTGTATTTGTATACTGAATGCATCGCTGTAGAGTATTGACAAAGTATAGTTCGGGACTCGCCTCACAATCGCACGATGTGAAACGGGAAATTTAGGCGAATTGTTAGCAGTATCCCAGCTCGACGGTCCGTGCGTGGAAGTCCGAACAGCTTCTGCGTTCTTCTTCTCGCCATCATGTTCCAAGCCACCGGACGCTTTGTGGCAGCCTTTTACCTTCAAATTCTTTTATGCACAACATTGGTGCACTTGCTAATCCCGTACTGGTCTGTCCGCCAGAGGGTCCCTCGAGACTTGTCACGCCGGACAAGCTGCCGTTCTCGTTGCCGTCAAGCCATGGAAGGTTTTCTTGTAGCCCTTCCAGGATGGCACACTCACAGGGATAACCCCTCTCGGAGCTGACATTACAATCCTGGATCCCTTCCAGAACAGCAACATTGGATAACGGGTGTCCCCGGAACCTGAGACTAGCAGGGTGGCCTGCTTTTGCTTGTGAGAGCAGTTCATGATCTTGGCGTTGCGGAGAGCACTAGTTAAGACCACCACCACTGTCAGAACGAACACCACATCAGCACCATCCATCCCACGAACTGCAAAATGGCACACTCGATGGATATACCGGAGACCAATGCGTTCTCGCCTGCTCCGAATGGGAAAATGCCGCCAGCCGTCGAACTTGAATACCTCTCACGAATCGTCTTCCTCGTTGTCCCGGCCTCCCAAACTCCCCCTTGGTTGGAGGATCATATTGCGGACTGCTTCAAGTGTGAGTAATCTTCCAGAACGAGGATTTGTACGCCAGACGTCCAAAGGTGGGCGTCTCATGGCATGCTGATAGATATCTGCATCACAGCCGATGTCGACAACTTCCCGGCTTCGGCGACATGGGAGCAAATGGTAGACATGTTTAGAAAGGTCAACAAGGCCGATCCGCATTACGATCCCCAGATTTTGAATGTTCTGGTAGATCTTAACGAGCACGGTAAGTCGTTCAAAGGCAGGAGACATCCTCAACAGGCTAGTCCCCATCATTTATACATCTCCGAAGGTGAACGTTCTGACAATAACTGGCTTATCAGGTGCGCATGCCGAAGTGTTTGTACTGATACAAGCATGTGGAAGACCTCAATACATAATACGGCACACGATTGTCAGACTCAGGTGGAGACGCCGAAATGGCAAATGGCAACTGTATCATGTTTTGGCTATCAGAGCACCCAATTTGTTTCCTTAGCAGAACGGGGTGCCTAGCAGTCCCGGGCAAAGAAAAGATATCTGAAGACCTCAGTTACGCGACCATAACGGTTCACTTTCACGGTACCTTCGGCAAAGGAAGACCTCAAGCATGGTGACCGACCTCACGTGCAATTCACAGCACCTTCACGCTGGCTTCAACACTATTTACGCGCCTTCACATGTTGCTTTATGATGTCGCCGCGGCACACATAGTGATGATTCGTGTTCATCTTGTGGAGAAGGTGTTGACAGACTAATACAATCTCAGCCTCTTCACAGTTGCTTTCGAATATTAACATTGAGCAACAGCTTACCACGACATCAAAACCGGTACGAACATCCAACATACGACATCCAACTGAAGGTCTCCGTCTGGTATCGAACAAGATCAGAAGATGTCGACAGACGGGGGACAGGCAGTGGATGTGAACGAGAAGCACGAATGCGGTTACTGTGGTGCATCAGCCAACGAAATCTGCACAGAGTGCAAGAACATGAGATACTGCTCTCATGAGCATCAGATCGCGGACCAGCGCTTTCATAAGCTGCTTTGCAAAACCTACGCCGACTTTCAGGAGCGCCCAGGGGAATGGTTCTGCCGGGCCATCTCGTTTCCTGGAGATGCTGAGAAACCGTACTTTGTTTGGATACCGACACAGACTGATGCAGRCTCATCGAACGATGGAGAGGAGGTTGAAGAGACCTTTTCAGACGGTGAGCAAGGAGAGCAAAAGGAGATGTCTTCGATCTTTGAGCATGGCTATTACGATAGGGAGGAGATGGGGTGGGAAGATGCCAGAGCCGATCCGACGGGGTTAGAGGAGCCAGACCCGATGTTTTTCGATGAGTGGTCAGACACTTCGTCTACTTCGACAGCTGCAACTTCTTTCRAACAGGAAGCGGAGCCCAGCCAGGGTAGCGTAAGCCTTCGTTGGTGCGGCTCCTTTGCTAACCCCGGTGAGACGCTGCCTAACAAGTGCGTGGCTTATCTCACCAATGATCAAACGGCCATGTATCTTCGGGGCCCGTTGTTGCTGTACGGCCTAGACGATGCCACAGGTTCCCGCGTCGATCTGGATACCACCGTCCTCACTCTTGCAATCAGACAATTTCCGACTTGCGATCAAGACCACCGGWGCGACTGTGGATTGGGAGTTGGAGAGGTCGCCATTTCCGAAGCTGCAGGCATGGTGAAGGAGCTGGGCGATGCTATAGTTGACGGCCAGGATGTGAGCGATGATACAGTTCTTGCGGGATCGACTATGGAAACCACATGACATCTTTGATGAGAAATCATTATACCTAGGTACTGATACGACATTAATCGGGTCTGGAACTGGATAGGCACAAAATTATTTGTGCAAAAGCATGAAATGAATTCACTCCGTGCCTTGCCTTACAACGGTTTGTCAACTATTGATACCCCAAACGGAGATAAAAGCGGAGAAATATAACGTCAGTAACACATCGGCATTATCGGACTTTATGCACAAGGTAGACCATCATGGGCATGGTACTTAAAGCTACATTGAATCGCCAGCTTACTGCTTTCTTCAATTTCATACCATTCGTCACCCACTACTTGTCGACCAAGAAACCCTTCCAGATGTCGTTGTTTCCACCAGCTCCCAAGCCAAAGTCCCTGTTGGGATACCACCGTATTCTTTCCCCAACAGCCGGCGTTCGCGTTTCTCCGCTATGTCTAGGTGCTATGAACTTTGGAGATGCGTGGAAGTATGTAGAAAACAGTCCTAGCGACCTATGGTCCTGAATGTTGCTAATATCGTGTTAGGGACTTTTTGGGAGAGTGTAACAAGGAGACCAGCTTCGCAATGCTCGATTTCTTTTATCAGAACGGTGGTAACTTTGTGGATACCGCGAACAACTATCAAGGAGAAGAGAGTGAGACTTGGATTGGAGAGTGGATGCAGAAGAACCAGAATCGTGATGAGATGGTCCTTGCCACGAAGTATACCACGGGTTACAGGACGATCTCTGATGCCACGGAGAAGATCAAGTCCAATTTCCAGGGCAACCATAGCAAGTCTTTGAGACTTTCTGTCAACGCGAGCTTGAAGAAGCTGCAGACGGACTATATTGATCTCCTGTTCGTTTTTCTCGATTCTTGAGATCCGGGGGGTTTTCTGACGTTCTCTACCCTTCCAGATACGTCCACTGGTGGGACTATACGACCAGCATTCCAGAGTTGATGAATTCCCTGCACCAACTAATCATGGCTGGCAAAGTCTTGTACTTGGGAATCAGTGATACACCTGCGTGGGTCGTTGTCAAGTGCAACGACTACGCTCGATTCCATGGCCTGACGCAGTTCAGCGTGTACCAAGGTAAGCAAGCATTCCGGAGGGTTTGAAACACAGCTGATTGTCTTGATAGGGCACTGGTCGGCGGCTTTCCGCGATTTTGAGCGAGAGATTCTACCCATGATTGAGGCGGAAAATATGGGTATCGCGCCATGGGGCGCTCTGGGTCGTGGACAGCTCGTGAGTACAAATTGGATGGTCTATTTCATCCGACAGAGCCTGACATTCCTATCAGAAATCCGCCGAGGAGTACAACGATGCGAATCGCGATGGTCGCAAAATGGCCCCTCAGAGTGAAAAGGTTCGCAAAATGGCCGCGAAACTGGATGAAATAGCCAAGAAGAAGAATACCGCCATCACCTCCATTGCTCTCGCGTATGTGAGGCACAAGGCGCCGGTATGTTGCAGTCTGGAGGACGTAAAGTCAAGAGCTAATCCCCGGTAGTATGTCTTCCCAATCGTCGGCGGCAGGAAGATCGAACACTTGAAGGGCAATATCGAGGCTCTTGGTATTGAACTTACACAGCAGGAGATTGACGACATCGAGGATAGTGAAGACTTTGATGTTGGATTTCCGACCAGCTTCTTATTTCCAGGCAAGCCGTACCGCACTAGATATACCACGATGGATATGCCATTGGTCATCACCAACACACCGCTGGAATCTCAGCCCAAGCCGCAGGTGAGTTGTTATTGTGCTTCTCTCGGCGACAGAGTGCTGACAGTCTATCAGGTCATCGAACCTAGGCAAGGTGAGAAGACACTCAAGCTGGGTTGATTGCAGCATGTGGAGTGAAATGTGGCGAATGGATTATCTGATGTACACTTGGATCTACACTTACAAATCCAAAATCTCATGCTATTCGCTCTTGTATATCGTTCCAGATTTCCTCGCTCAGGTTGCCTCTGGAGATGTTCATGGCAATAGACTGCAAACTGGACTCCTTCTCCTGCAGGCGATCGATGAAGCTGCTCAGATCCGCTGCAGCATCCTCATTCGGTACTTCGACCTTCGTGTCTTCGTTGGCTTCCCATAGAATCTCAGAGGTCGCAATCTGCAGGTCCAGCGCGGTTGATATGGCATCGCCCACAGCCCTTGTATCGCCAGGCTCCGCAAAGACAATGACTCTGCCATCTCCATCCTCTTCAACATCGATTGCTCCAGCTTCGAGAGCAGGCTCCAGCACCTCATCGGGACCAATTCCATCTTTGCTTTCAAACGTAATCTTGCCCTTTTTGGTGAACAAGTACCCCGTAGGAGTGGTTGAGCCACCATGCTCTTTGATCGCCAGCCTCACTTCCGCCAGAGTACGTAGCTTACTGGCCGTCTCGCATTCCACAATGACCGCTACATTGTTCGGTAAGATTCCCTCTATCGACAAGCTTTCCAATGCCGCACCGGTAGTGCTTCTTCCCTGTCCTCGGGCAATCGCAGACTCGATCGATGCCTTGGCGAAGCCTTCCTTCTTCGCTTTGGYGATGAGATCTGCAAGCCGTGGGTTGGCATTCGGGTCCGCGCCAAACAGTTTCGAGGCCGTGGCAATTTCGTGGGCAAAGATCGATCGCTGTTTGTTCTTTCCCGCGTCCACTTTGGCTTTGTCGTGCTTGATCTTGCTCCATCGCGAGTGGCCAGATTGATGGAGGGCGGAAGTGGCGAATGCACGTGTTTGAAAGGTGTTGATGGGGTTGTAGTGCCTCGCGTGGGCAATTATTCCTCTGCTGGGCGCCATGATGATGTGTCTGTAGAGWTGGCAGGAGCGAGGCGCGTGCTTCCACATTTTATTTTGCGGAACTGACTCCGCTGCCACCAAAGCTGGGACTTGTGGGGAGATGCGACTTTCAAGAAGCTCCTTTCGCGAAATCCAGACTCGACCTTTGCCCGATTTCCACTCTTCCGCGAACAATGGTGTAGAACATCTTCGCGAACATGGTGGACACGGAGAAGAAGGCGCCAGCGGCCAAAAAGGACGAGGAAGCGTCGGCCACCACCAATGGAGAAACGTCTCCCTTCCAACTAGATGTGAACAAGCTACACGCGCTCCCGTCCGAACAGCAAGGACTGTACATTCTCACCTTCACGGCCGACTTGGCCCGTCATGTCGAAACCATCAACACAGAGGATCTCAACGCCGAACAGACGGCACTCAAAAAAGAGCTCTTCCAAATCATCAATCTGACCTCTCCGGCACCAACAAGAGTAGTTCGCAAGAACGTTGGACGATGTTTCTATGGAATCCTCACAAAAGGGAGCAGAAAAATCCTCTACGAATCGATCAACGACCTGGTTGCTATTGTGAATGCTGGAAAGGACAAGGAGCTCAAGACGAAGCATGCTGCGATATACTGCTTGGGAATCATCTTCGAAAGTGCTGGCGACAGTGCCATCAGTCTCTCTCCCTTGGCCTGCAACACCATACTGAAATTTGCAAAAGGAGCGGGAAACGATGCAGGACTGCGCAGCTCAATCTATCGAGCATGTGGAGGCATTGCCAAAGGGATCGCCGTTGCTATCGATGAGGATATTGGAAGAGCTGTTTGGAAGTTGGCAAGGAATACTGCAGGTAGTGACAAGTCATTGTTGGTGCAAGCCAGCGCTTGTTGGTGTTTGGAACAGCTGGTCCGCACTACATCCTACTTTGACAACTCCAACGACTTCGAGAAGCTGCAGGCCGCACTTTGGAAAGCGATGGAAAGCTCTTCCACGTCTGTTCGTCATGCAGCTGCTTCTTGTCTTGCGACCCAGCTGGTGAAGAGTTACTCTGAAGCACCGAGTAAAGATGCTTTGCCCAAGATCAAGAAACCCAAAAAGTCAAAGAAGCCTGTCCCGGGTGAGGATCCTGATGAGGACCTTGAACGCGCATCCTCTCCTGTCCCAGAAAAGCCGGCGACCGCCCTCTCGTTCAGTTTACTCGAGATTCTCAAGTTGCTCTCAACCCAATTCTGCAAACCGGCAACGCCCAATAGAGCGCGCGCGGGTATCGCAGTGTGTTATGTAAAGATTCTCAAGACTCTCGGTGAATCTGTTGTTGAAAAGCAGTATGGCGATATCGCTCGGCACTTCCTTGTGGATATCCTAAATTACCAAGGATGGCAACACAATCAGTACCGCCAATTGACGAGCAGGAAGTTTGTTCGAATCATCCTGGAACGTGTAGTCGGAGCTATGCTAGGAKAGACTGCACAGCTCAATGCTTGCCGCTTCTTACTCAACGAAATCATCAAAGACTATCCTCAGAGTATCAAGGAGCGTCCGGAGCCTACAAGAGCGATACTCACTGGAGCCATCAGCGCCTTGACATCCCTTGTGTCACGCCTGGACACAGCGATTGGAACAATAGCGGAGGCTTGCCGCGAAGGCTTACTTCAGGTGCTGCAACATCCGTCTTTCACGGTTCAAATACAAGCATCGCGTTCACTGCGGATCTTCGTCCTCGCCTGCCCACAGCAACTGCTTCCTGCAGTGACAATCTGCATGAACAGCGTCAGTCGCGAACTCAATCTGCTGGGCACTCCTCGTCAAACCCAGAGACGATGTATCGCATACGCTCATGGGCTGGCCGCAATCCTCAGCACATCAAGTCAGCACCCGCTTTATGGCTCTGTCGATGTATATGCAAGAGTGCTACAGCAAGCAACAACTCTGCTCAAGTCAAGCGGTAGTTCCGACCTGCGAGTGTCTAGCTGTCAGCTACAAGTAGCCTGGATCATGATCGGCGGCCTCATGTCCCTGGGACCCAACTTTGTCAAGATTCACCTTACACAGCTCATGCTGTTGTGGAGGAATGCACTCCCCAAACCAGTCTCAAGAGAGCACATCAGTCAGCGCAACATGCTGGAGCTCAGCTATCTAGCACATGTTCGAGAGTGCGCTCTCGGTTCAATCAAGGCTTTCTTGGCATATAATCAACGACTGTTGACATCTGATGTCTCCCGGCGATTACTGGGTATGTTGGAGAACACCGTTGCATTCTTGCAGACTCTACCTGCAAAGAAGACCAGTGACGATCCTTCGAATCGCTTGTCGGCGGCTCTGCAACTCCAAGATTATGAAGTCATGGTCAGGCGGCGAGTGTTTGAGTGCTTTTCGCAGCTTTTGAGCCTCAGCCCGACTGGAAGCATCGAAGCAACAGCACATTCTACTATCCTGCCATTAGCGGTATCATCATTCTCCGACGCGGAGTATGACGCTCCCAACGCATTGAGCGCAGCGATAGCTAGTGCGGCAGGCTCTTACGAGAGCATCTGGGACTTGGGCGATAATTATGGCTTTGGTGTTTCGGGTCGCATTCGAGGTCTTGATCTTCGCAATCCAATCAATGGCAGGCTGGAAAGACACTGGACAAGTCGTAGTGACGAGGAAGCMGAGATCGACCAGACTCTACTATCCCCCATAGGCACTGCTGCCGAGAATGATCCAACCTGCTGCTATTTGAATGATGCACAAGATGATGAAGACCTGCCCAGTCCACCCGCCACTGGAGCTGTAGATGCTGCAATTTCAGCATTCGGTCTTTGTCTCCCACTGCAAGCTCCCAGAGTTCAAGACAGCATATTGGAGCAGATAGCGAATTCCATGAGCGCACCAGCTCTGCAGAAAGACCTCGCCAGGAAGGTAGCCATCACTGCTAATGTAACGCTGGCGTTATCAATGGCACTTCGGGTAGCTACTGGAGATGTTGGATCAGCCCGTGGCGAGCTTCGGAATATGAACGCCGAGAAGGGCCTGCAAACGCTTCTGCATGCCTTCATCAAGGACCCAGATGACAGTATTCGATGTCTCGCTGCGGCTGCGCTAGGCAGGCTCTGCTCCAGCTCTGGCACATCGTTCACAGCCGCCGAGGTGACACACTTGACGGAAACCATTGTAAACAACAGAGAACCCCATGTGCGTGCTGGCTGTGCTCTAGCTCTGGCACATATACATTCACAACTAGGTGGCATGGCGGCTGGACTGCACATGAAGAACATTGTTGGCATTTTAATGTCACTTGCAGCCGACACTCATCCTACAGTACACTTCTGGGCGTTGGACAGTTTGGCGCAGATTGCGGAATCAGCAGGCCTGAACTTCTCAGGATATGTGACTGGCACGATTGGTATGCTGAGCCAGCTGTACGTCTCCGACAGCCACCACGCAGAGATCACTTCGCAGGCATCCTCCAACATGTCGATGGACCTCCCCGTGGCTGCTGCTATTGCTCGTGGTGTTGATGCAATCATCAACGTACTGGGGCCTGATCTTCAAGACATGGCAAAAGCGAGGGATATGATAATGACTCTCGTCCGTCTATTCTCAGTCGAAAACGAAACTGGCATCTTGCTTGAAAGTCTGCGATGTTTGGAGCATCTCTCCCTCTACGCACCAGGACACATGGAGTTTGCCCAATACGTACAGAGATTGCAGAAAGATCTCGATGCCCCGTCTTCAGAGGTGTCCGAACTAGCTCTACAAGGTCTCTTCACGCTGATGCGCCGAGATGCTCCTGATATCGTGCGGACGGCACTACCGGGCTTGGAGGATCGTCTTTGGGAGTATTTAAACCACGAGCCTGGAGAAATGTCCATCAAAAACATCTTCGTCAACTGGCTGCAGCAGACTGGATCCAGCAATCCTGTGGAATGGATCCAACGATGTAATAACATCCTCACCAAGACAATGGCCAGGACAGAGCAGCCCAAGRCTGCAGTAGCGAAGAAAACTCCCGGGCCAGACTTGCAGGATGAAGAAGCCGCTGGATTCGCAGCTGCAGGTGGAGCTTCGAAGGAAGATGAGACTCAAGCCCCATCTTCAACGCAAGAGCTGATGCGGTGGCAAGTGCGACTCTTCGCAATGGAGTGCCTACGTAACCTCATTGCAATGATCAGGAAAGAAGCAGCCGTGAGTGACGAGAGCGCGGGCGAGGCAGCACTCCAACAAAGAGTTGCCGATGTGATCCGCATTGCCTTCTCTGCATCCACCGCAGGTGTATCATCTTTGCGTGTCGTGGGCATGCAAATCATCGATCAGGTACTCAWAATGTTTGGCAGGACACCAGATCCAGACTTCTCCGAAGCAATGTTGCTCGAACAGTACCAAGCGCAAATCAGCTCTGCTTTGACACCCGCTTTCGCTGCAGACTCCTCGCCAGAACTTGCTGCTGCTGCTGTCGATGTCTGTGCTACCTTCACGGCCACTGGTATCGTCACCGACATCGATCGTATGGGTCGCATTCTGAAGCTCCTCGTCTCTGCGCTTGACAGCTTCTCTCAGGAGACTGACACTGCAAGCATTGGAGATCTGAAAGCTCTAAGCTCTAATGCGCAAGTCATGGTTCGCATGGCTGTCTTTGCTGCCTGGGCAGAACTTCAAATCGCCAGTGCAGAGCAGAAGTATCTCATCGATGTGGTCAAGCCGCACATAGCTCAGCTTGTACCATTGTGGATCTCTTCCCTACGAGAGTATGCTCGTCTTCGCTTCGAGCCTGATATCTCAGCTACCACTGCGACGCCTGCTACATCTGGAGATCTGGACATGGTCTACGCTGCTCTCAACCGGGAGACACTGCTCAAGTTCTACCAAGCCTCTTGGCTAAGTTTAGTCGATGCGATTGCAAGTCTGATCGATGAAGATAGCGAATTTGTGTTTGCTGCGCTCGATGATAAGCAGGCGAATGCTGAAAGTGGAAATGTTGTTCGAAAGAATAGTGGCATCAACTACCGAGAGGAACCAGTCGCGTTCTTCTTCGTACTCTACGGATTGGCGTTCGAATCGCTTGCTGTCCGTGCGGGAGACGACGACGTCCTCACACGGCAGCGTAATCTGGATATTCTGGAGGCCTTGAAGAAGATCCTTCGTCCGTCCGTTTCTGGAAATGCTGTCTATCAAGAAGTTGTCTTCGCAGAGACTATGGACCTACTGGATAGGATGATTCTGACTGAGAGCTTGGGCATGCAAACTGTCATAGTGGAGATTGCTCGCAACCTTTGCCTTGTCCATCCATCCTCGCGACAAGGCATGCAGACGCCCATCAACGGCGAGGCACTTTCGGATGATATCGAGCAACTTTTTGAAYTCACTCGCATCATCATCCTGGTCCTCGCAGGATTGATACCAGGTTTAGCCGATACTCCAGTTTCCACACAGATTGAGTCATCTGAAGAGGCCACAGGGCTCGTTCGTGCCTCACTGCAAGCTCTTGTCGATGTTTCCGAGGTGTTTCCTTCCATCATCAAGACCGACTTGCACGCCTCGATCCTTCATATCTTTGTCACCATTTTGGGAACGGCAGCTTGTCAAAGTGTCGTTGTACCCCAAGCACTGCCAATCTTTCGACGGTTTGTCGCCAGCATAGCCGATGATGAGCGGCCAGACACCCGACAGCAGGTTCAGAATGCGTTGAAAAGAATGCTAGCCATTCTTCGCAACGCACAAAAACGAGAGACGCAAGCAAGCTTGCCATGTGAGAAGARTACCTTGCTGGCCATTTCAGTTCTGCTCTCTGCGGCTCAGCCCTTCTTTGAAAGCAACGATCCTCTTGTGTTGCGTTTCTTGGGCGAACTACGAGAGTGTCTGGGAAGTCCCATGACTTCAAAGGTTGCTGCGGGTTGCTACAGGACGCTCATGCTGCAGAAAGTCTCCCCTCGCGTCACCTTTGCACACACAGTTGGCTTCCTCATGGACCCGCCTGATCTCGAAGGCATGGAGGAGACAAAGTCCGTGGTCTCGCAAACCCTCACGACTTACACTTCAAAGCTTCCTGCAGGTCAGAAGCCCGCTGCTGTTGTTCTTCTCGTCAATACGCTCCTCAGGTGTGCCCGTAAAGATGGTTCAGCATCGCACCCCAGTATTGCTGCACGCCTTTTGGAGCTTGCTGCGACTGAGAACGCCACTTTCCGGAGTCTTGTAGCAAGCATGACTGGAGATCAGAAGCAGCTGATGGAACAAATATTGAAGTCACAAGCTGGGAATCGTGGTGTGAGACAGGACTTGAGTGCGGAGCGTGAGCCGACTATTGCGTTGAAAATGAACTTTGGTGGCTAGATTATGGGCAAGCTCTAGAGCAGCTGTGCGCTCTCTGGTAGGACCACTGCAGATAGAAGAGCACTTTCCCGCGCTTGGTCTATGGGGCAAATCATGATCAGCGATCAATGATACGATTGTCATGACTAGGGATGATGAAGCGGGGAGGAGCGTAGCGCTGAGGAGGTGCGTCAAGACGAATGTATACCACGGTTAGTGATGAAATGATAATTCAACCAATGTGGAAGCGCCATAATCAGACTTGCGGATGAATCTCGTTGATAGTAGCACTTAAGCATTTCAACTCGTACCATGATTCCTGCCGTCGGTTGTTGAGACGGTAAGGCTGAGCTATATGGTTCCCCTGCGCGGAAGATTTAGTACACCGTGGCTTCGTTCCAAAGTCGACGAAAGTATGAAGCAATCTTCCACTCGATCGCGTGAGCGTGGGACTTGTAAAAGATGACCATGTACACTCGCAGCAGCAAACGGAATCAAGCAGTGAAACAGGATTGAAGGAAATTTTGATCATTCAACCCGATGAAGGTTTACAGGAAGCGACTTCCATCAATCAGAAAATCGCACAGTATTGCCATTCTGTCGACAACTCGTCACACGCTCATTCGTACATTTTATCGATACAGCGGCCGCTGGTCTGCAGCCTCCGAACTCCAGCCTTGTAGGTGGCTGATCATGCGTGTGATTGCTCTGACCACTGGGCAAGATCAAACTAACCCCTAAACCTTGCGCTTCTTCGAAGCAGGCTGGTTGAGCATTTCGACGAACTCCTCCTCGGTGAGGGTCGACAGGCCCTTGTCTTTAATATCCGCCAGCTTCTTCTCTCCTGGCTTGTTGCCCAGAACGACATAGTCGGCCTCATCCATATTGGCGGCGGAGACAATTTCAGCACCTACATGAAGCAGAAGGCGTTAGTGGGCGGTCACGTAGGCAGTACTGAGGGATATCTACCGTGAGCTTTAGCGGTCAGGTCGCAGGTGGTCCGGTCCATGCTCAAGCTGCCGGTGAAGATGAGCTGCAGATGGCTGATTAGCAAAGTCCGGTCTCGTTCCACAATCAACTTTCAAACGTACCTTCAAGCCCTGCAGAGAATCCGGCTCGCCTTGGAGCATAGTGGTCTTCTTCGTCGCGCCGGGCGCCTTCTTGGCAGGAGCCTTCTTCGTGCCGCTCTTTGCGGTAGAGCTCACGGCACTCGCGACGCTCGCGCCACTGTGATTTTGTCAGTATTCTGCTCGATGACTCTTGGTGATGCTGCTAGAGAGCGCCACTCTCTTAGGGATGGCAGGAGCTACTTGGGGAGCTGCTACATGATGGGAGTACGCTAGATGTTACTCACCCTTGACCGTTGCCATCGGTGTCGTCCTTCAACTCCGTCTTCTTCACCACGATGGTGAAGTTCTGGGTCTTGTTCTTGTAGGTGACGCAGAGATCCTTAGTCTGGGACTCGGACGTCTCGTCCTGGTCGTCGCCAGAAGCGTCCAAGGCGGCGGCATTGGCAGAGTCAACGGTGGCGTGAATCTCAAGCAGGCTGAGGGTGCCCTTCTTGTCTCCGTCCTCGAAGTCGCGACGCGTGATCGCGTAGACGTACTGCTTCTTGGGAGCCATTGTTTGATCGTTGGTGTAGAGAGTTGGGTTGACGGGGTGCTTCGGTGGAGTTGCAATGCGATATTTGATTGCGAGTGCAAAGTGAGTGTGATTGTTTTGAACGGATCTTCGACGTACTCGACGATGTTTGCTAGGCACCAGAAAGTGGGGCGGGCCCAAGTCGCGTCAGATCTTCACTTCACGACAACGCAAGACGAGGGCAGCGAGGACAGCGGAGATGGAGCCAGATGAACTATAACATGTTGTGAGATCGTAGGATCGAGCGGCTAAGTCGTCGGCACTTACTGCTACTTGCCCACATCAGAGCCCTCGAGCCTTCCCTACGCTCCTTCGATGTCTTCTCGCCCTCCTCATGCCTGCATTCCTCCTCACGGCAAGCTCCTGCAATACGTCTCCAACCAGGGAGAGAAACCAGCCGTATCTTCATGGCGAAATCCACCTACATTCATTACAATAAATTATCGCAATCAAAATCCCCGGTAGCTACAGCACATCAAGAGCGCTACCGTTTCCTCAACCCAGATTTACCGTCGACGCCCGTGCCAGATGCTTCGGCTGAACTGAATGGCTCGCCGTTGAGAGTGACCTGAGGAGTGTTGGCATCGCCGTTCGCCTTTGGGGTGTCCTCGACTGAATCGAGCTCCGTCTCGTCTTCATCCTCGGACCTTTCGTCCTTTGCCTCACTGGTCGACAGGAATCGCACCAGGATCCGGATAATGAGTACGAACCAGAAGATGTTGACAGCTTGCAGGACTGCGAGCAAAGCGAACGTAATGGTCTGGGAAAGGAGGCACTTATATTGTTGCGTCTCCCAATTCAGCTCGTATGGTCCGATAGTCGCAAAGTCGCCGTTGGGGAGCAGAGAGGCAAGGATGACAAGATTGAGGTAGTGACGAAGGTATGCCCAGACCGCGATGAAAAGACCAAAGTATCCAGGTGTGAACCACGCATCGATGTAGTTGAAGCATTYGGAGGTCTGGAGGAATGGTCAGTAAACATCACATGCTTTATGAACACTCCACTTACCGCCAGGAAAAAATCAGAGATGTCGTGTGTGATGTACACAGCAACTCCAATATACGTAAAGTGGAAGCGGTAGCTCAGTCCGATCAACGACAAGGTGATGATGTGATGCAGTACCAACTCCTTGAAGTCCTTTCGCGGCTTCTCAAGCATGAGCATCATGACCAAACTCTGCTGTGCCCAGTATGAAGCCTGTAGCAGGTAGTATGCCTTGAATACAGCCTCGTGTGCTCTGTGGGGAAAGCCTTCGTACATTCCTGCAGTGTTGAAGTACCACACTGGCGTCCTGCTCATCACGTACACCCCAAAGGGTCCAAATACAGCAAAGTATAGGGCCGTATAGAATTGTTCCATAAATCTGCTCTGCTTTCCTCTTGCTCGAATGCCACACCGGATGGCAATGGGACGGATCAAACGCTGCATCAAGAACTCTCTCGTGAATGACAGCACAATCATGTAGAAGGCGACGAATGCCAGATCCTTGGGCCCCTTTCCATATTGCGTGACATTGCCGACATGTGCAGGCAGGGTGTCGGTCCGCTCGTTCAACGGTGGATTCGCGTACGAAAGGAAGATGGCATAGTGCAGCGGGTTGTGCTCGCCCGGACTGACAAGGTAAAGTCCCAGAACGATGAGAATGAGCACTAATGGTATAACCCACGTGTGCTTGAGACACATACGCTTGCAACGATTGAGCACGCTCTTGGCCTTCCTCCTCTTCGACGGACGCGTGGGCTTTTGGGAGTTGGGCGTAGTCGGCGGCGACAATGGTTGGAGTTGAGAGAGATTCCGCGTCGCGAATGCAGTGCCTCCAGTATCACCTCGAGGATCGGCGCCCAGGTTCGAGCTCTTTCGTCGTCGAGGCTGCGGCCTGCTGGCCGGCGCGCYATGTAAACCCTCGACTGGAGGCGTGAATGTTGGGGAAAGAGGCGGGAACGACTCGGTTTGGGCTGGTGGTGGAGGCATGCTGGATGGTTTGGGAATGAAAGACTGGCAGCGACCACTACTAAGGTAAGGTACGTGTAGACGGTACCCTGGGTTCAAGGAGAAACCAACCTGGAAGCGGGCTATCCTCGGGATTTGCTCCGCGACGATACGTAGGTGGTGCTATAGCAATCTGCGCAATGTCTCAGAGTGCGACGACAGTGAACTATGCGGGTTTCAACACAGCGAGTAGTTGACACTTTGATGACCAGGATCTGTCCATGTGGAATTGCTACGATTGCGTGTGGAAAGGGTAAAGACATGATGACATCRCCATCGTTCGTTTCGTAGTACTCGAGACTGCCTTTTATTCAAACATGACAAGAAATTCCGAAGGAGACTCACGGAGGAGTAGTGTCTCGCAGAGTCGCCCATAAACGGCCACAGGTAGGTACTCCAGGCTCAAGTGAAGTGAACCAAACCGAAGTGCAAGATTTGCCCTAGAAAGCAAACAACGTGTTACAGCTCCGATTTACCCAGTCCACCTATGTAGCACAGCTTTGTATATATGCAGTTGCTCTCCTATGGCTATAGGCCCATTGCTCGACCTATGGATCGATGATAGCATCGCTTTGCGCACCTTTGTTACTACCCAAACCCTAACCCTAAGCGAGCAWACAGYAAAACATTTGAACGGGCCGACCAATCGTACATTTAGAAACACATCATATGGGATGAGAGTAAGGGTTAAAAAGGACGTTTATTCATCATCATGACATGTCATAAGTCTATTACAAGCCCCAGGGCGCATTCCTCCAGGATATGCCTTGCAGCCAAACTATTCCCCGCCCCCGTGACCAGCATGGAATCCGCCATCCGGATCATCATACGCAGCGAATTCGCTGCTGAGAATATCGTCCATGCCTTTCCAATCCATCTCCAAGTGGACCTGATCAAACCTTGGCAAATCACTAAAGTCGTACTGCTGTGATGGGCTGGTGAAGGCGGGCTCACTAGTCCCGGTGGCATCACCGAGCATTTGCGACAAATGACGGGAGAAGGGAGAGAGTTCGACAGGCAGACGATTGCCCCCTCTGACACTTCGTCCTCCCGGGGTCCTCTCCAGCCGGCTCGGCGTAGATCGAAGGAAATACCTCGCAGAGCTAGGTGAGACGATGGGGTCGCGCGCATCGGCGTTGTTTGCTGCATTCTTGCTTTCACCAAGAGCTCTCCGCTTACGAGAGGACTGAGTGGGAGTCTTCAGGAAGTCATCGAATTGGTTTTTGTTGGACATGCGAGGCGTGGTCTTCACTGGCGTCTTGCGGCGAGATGCTGGGGATTTGAACATTGCGATTGGGGATCCTTCGAATAGATGGGCGAGATCATCATCGTCATCCAGTGGAGGCGGCATGTTTTCCCGATTGTTGGTGAAGACCTCGAAGATGTTCACATTGGTCTGTTCGGAAATGTTGACAGCTTTCGCCTGACCTTGCGACCCACTCGGCGACTGACATTTGCGCGCTGACATTTCGCCACCCTCGAGACTCTTCTGCTCTCCACTGCGTCGTGGAGACGGGAACAACAAACGTCTGGTAGGCTTTGCTGGTGTGTCCTCGAGCTCAATGGGCGATGTCTGGGAGCCCTGGAAGCGCACGGGACTGGATTGAGTAGCTCTCATGAAAGACGCATTTTGCCGTACGTTGCCCGATCGGTCGTTATCGCTCGCTCGGCGAGGTAGAGGCTGTACGCTACTGGCACGTGGTCGCTTCGGCGCAAGTAGACGCTTTGGGAGGGGCTGAACGGGTGCTTCATCAGTCGAGCGACTGTCATCCATTCCGTCCTCCACCGGTGCGGCCTGGTCTGTGAAGAATGCTTCGGATTGTGGCTCCATTCCGTCCGTGTGAAGACCATCATCGTCCTTCCTCTTCATCTTCCTCGTGTTCCGCGTGCGATGCCATCTATCGGACGGCCGCATTTTGCGATTCTTGGCAAACCACAGACCACATGGATTGCATACGACAGTCTCKTCGAATCCGCGTCCAGGGAGGACGGTCTTGGTCTTCTTCATGCTCTTCCGGATCACGAACTTGGTCGCGTCACCAGTTTCCTCATCGACTTGAGTGATGTCCACTTGGATGATCTCTCCCTCGCCCTCAACGTAATCCAGTGGAGACGGCTTTCCATCACAGTGGTTGACGTAAATTTTGCGCCACGTAGGCGTTTCAATCGCACCACAATGCGAGCAAAATACTGGTGTCTCGCCGTTGATGATGGCTTCCGCAAGGCGCTGTTCAATGATTTTACGGCGCGGAGCACCGGATCCGGAACGAGGCACTCTTGGCCTTGGCCCCTCGTTGTCACTAGGAGCCGGGGAGCCAGCCTCAGAATCGTTGTACGTTGTTCGTGAGCGCTGCAAGGGCTGCCTCTTGCGCTTTGTGAGCGCTGTAGTAGTGGCTGGCTTCGACGGAAGCGCGAGTGATCCTCTTCTTGAACCAGACGCTTCTGGTTGAGGCGTTGGCTCAAATCCTGGCGAGACGGTGGATGCCTGCTTTTGAGGAAGAGCATACAGGTTCTTGGATCTGGTCGTGGCATTAGTCGTGTCCAATCATAGGTTRTCCATGTCTCCAAAGAGCTCCAGGAAGAGATCGTTGTGTTCAACATACCCGTCGCTACCGGCACGCGTATCGTTCAAGTCACCAGCAACAGAGCCCTCGACCTTAACAAAGATCTCTTGCTGATGTTTTCTTGAGCGATATTGCGCGGCAGTGTCCAGATCATCCGCATCTGGGCTGCGATTTTCGTCATCCTCCATACTCTCAACCACATTTCCGCTGTTGAAGCCTCGATCACTAATGTATCCACTGTCCGCCAGCCTTGCAGGCGGCAGGGATGGAAGGCCGGGACTGGTGAGCCGGCGTTGGTTGAATCCTGGAACGAGGGGTGGAGAGGATGGGATCTCCATCGGAGTGCCCTCACCAGCAATGCTGTTACCTGGAGAGCTACCTTCAGGTGAGCTCTGTGCCGCTTCGGACATTGGCTCGTTGTCAGACATGATATCCGAGTCCGCAATGGATGATTGTCTCAACATACTTCGAGGGCCGGCAGACTGTCGTGCTCGCTGATGTGGCAGAAGTGTGCGCTGTGGGACAGGAGTGGGTACACGAGGCGGAGGCTCAAGATTGCTACCAGGAGCGGACGGACGCTTAGCGATGGGGCGGTGCATATGCATTGAGGAGGCAGTGGCAGCAGTTACGCGAAGATCAGACGACTTTGAGCCGAAGGATGACCTGCCGCGCCAGTCCGTCTGTACAACCTTTGCGCGCTTTCGAGACTGGCCATCTTCGTTATAGAACACTTCGGGCTGCTGCTGTTGTTGCGATGCTTGCTGTTGGAAGGAGTTTTGGTGGTAGGATGGGGTGTATTCACTTCGGACACTTCCACGTGAGTCGGGCCGACCATGTTCCGGGAACGTTGGCGCGTTGCCAGAGAAACTCTGGTGACGTAATGAGTCATTGTAGGAGTTGGAATTGGCACTGATCATTGGGCTTCCAGACCTGCTGCCTGGAGCACTGTKAGTCTGATCGGCAAATGCGGGGTTGTAAGCAAATGCAGCATCTGTCGGGGTCTCGCTGACGCCCACACTGCCGGGCTGCTGATATAGCCCGCCCGGCGTACCGGAGATGGCATTCGAAGCCATTCCAAACATATCGTCCAGCATCGCTGACTCGGCACTGCCACCTGTTGCCATTCCATCGAAGCCAAAGTAATCTGCCCGACCTTGATTTTGCTGCACCGTGTTGTTCCAGGCGTTGGGGTCGAAGCCAGCGGATGTTGCCGGGCTCACACTACGCATGCCATCCATGTTGCTACCCAGGGCTGGTCTCGACAGCGGCGTGAGCTTGAACTTGACCTCTAGAGTTTCCTTGATACCATTGCTGAAAAGGGCGGCGTTCTTCAAAACACGTCCCGTGATCATCGTTTTGTTCTGTACAGGTGTGCCTGATGACGCGTTACGGAGCAGCGTCGATAGCCTGCCTTGTCCCACGAGAAGTGCATCCGGCTCGCTGTAGTCGGTGGAGTAGACGGTGAAGTCTCCAGTCTCTAGCTGGAAGTGGATCTCAGGCGAGGCTTCGAGGATGCTTGAGATACATTGTTGCAGCTCGATCACGCCGACCTGTGTCTGCTCGTCGATTGCAACGGCGGGGATGTTGAGAGTGCCAGGAACTCGTGCAAGACATGTGGTCTTATGTTCCACGTCAAAGGTGTAGAGGATCTTGACCCGCATGGGACGCGTTGGGATATCGCTCAAGTCGTCCATGATGAATGTTGATGTAAGACAGAAGGTTCCAATTCAATGACTGAGGTCTTTGTAGCCTCCGGGCAGGCTGAGGGCTACACCACGTGCTGCAGCATACTCTGCTTGATGGAGAGCGGAACGCGAGGTTCGGGTGGCTGTGGATCGTGAGCGAATGGAGTACGGTCGTCGTTTCGATGCTGGTCCTGTCGTTTGCAAACTTCTGGTATTCTCAATCTAATGTGATACTGTAGTCCAAGGCGTATGTTGAACAAGTGGAAGTAAATGAAATGGTGATGGAAATACAAAGAGACGGGAGGAGCGAGGACGAGACGAGACGCGTTGTCGAATTGATCGGCGCCAAACGACGGGAGGCGGGTCAGGATCGCGATCACTAGCGTGCATTTGCATTTCCCGTCTGCCGCTCTGCAACTTCAAGTGAGTTACGGCATTCTACAATACGAAGCATCGACCCGCCATTACATCTCCCTCCATCCTCAATCACGCATCGAAAATGGCCACTGCGACAGACGACAAGATTCAGCTGTTGCTCAGCAAACCGCGCAATGAGTTGACGTGAGTCGCGACGTGCAACAATACCACCGCTGCGACCTCCTACTAACCTCACCTTCTCAGCGAATATGAGATTGGCGTGCTCGAGACACACGAGTTCACTTCCGGCCCGCTATCGCTCCTCCAAACCGCCGTCCGACAACACACACAAGTCCTGATCTCATGCCGTAACAACCGCAAACTGCTCGCACGTGTCAAGGCTTTTGATCGGCATTGCAACATGGTGCTGGAGAATGTGAAGGAGATGTGGACGGAGATTCCGCGTCTGACCGACGGAAAGCGAGGCCGTCCAGTCAACAAGGATCGCTTTATTAGCAAAATGTTCCTGCGCGGTGACAGTGTCATCCTGGTGCTATTGAGCTGAAGAATCTTCTTCATGGCAATGGGATCATCTGAAGGGAAGTGAAGGAAATCGGGCTTGAAGATTTTCAAGCCAGGACGGGGCAAGAGCGTGCGAGGAGGGTTCTTGCGATTCGTCGAGATCACAATTGCGGTATGATTCGCAAGTCGCCTGTACGTGTATTTAGGCTGGCTGATTTGGAGACAGCACGCGAGCAGCGTGGGATTGAGCACTCAGTGGATGGCGCTGAGAACCAGCAGGCCTCAATCAAAAGGCTACGTCTTACGAACTAGATATGTACCAAATGCTCACATAGCAGCCGAGCTGAGTCCACTCACTTCAATGCCTCAGCCAGACCCGAGAAAAACTCTGCAAGGCCGTGTGCGCCTGGATCTGGAACCTCTTGGTATCCACTACCTCCGACGTATACTGTCCGTCCGAGACTTGCTTGCATCCCCTTGGTCTTTTTCGCTCCTTCATCGGCGGCCTGGGCTGCCTTTTGCACATCCGAAGTTTTGGTCAGCTGCTCTACAAACGGTGATAGCGCATCCACCAGAGTACGGTCGCCAGGTTTAGCTTGGGTGTACTTCCCCAGAATTTCCATCGCAGTTCCAAGCGCCTTTGCCCATACTTGAGGATCCGCCGAGCTATTTCCATCACCACTTTGCAACCGCAAGCCGTAGGCGACTGCGTTCAGGAAGATGGCATATAACGCTCCGGAAGTACCGTCCATGTCGTTCTCTACAACCGAGACGATGCCATCCACGAATAGAGCCGCATCCTTTTCGTCCGGAGYCGATTCGAGGTGTGCTTTGATGCCTTCGGCGCCACGCTTTAACCCTATACCGCAATCGCCATCGCCGACAGCAGTATCGTACTTGGTCACGTCTGGTTCAGCTGCAATGACTCGGTCGAGAGCCTTATTGAGCCCCCGTTTTGCTAGTGCGGGATCGATATTGATACCACATGGCTTATTCTCAATCCTCTTGCTCGCGCCGTCCTCACGCGTCTGCGATGGCTTATTTGACCAGGTTTGAGTGCTGATCGCCGCGGACCAGCCGGCTGCCTCGGATGGGGCGTCTAGAAGTTCGAGGATCGACTTCCCGACCCCAAGGTCTGTTACCTTTAACAGAGAAATGGAAAAGCCAAGACCGTTGAGAGAAGTCATGAAAGTGCCCGCTAGGATCCGTGCGGGCTTTATGCCGTAGTTCTTCTCGAGCTGCGAGACGACTTCTGTCGTGATGCCCCCTAATTCGAGAATGCTGACGCCACCAAGGTTGTTGATTAGCAATACCGTCTCATCCGATTGTGTGATATTTGAGAAAGCTCTGTCTTCATCCTTGGAGTCCAGCATATACCGCAGCATGGTGTTGACAGTCTCTGGCAGCTGAGCTGTCGTGATTTCCGATCCGGGTTCGTTGTGAATGCCCATTCCGATTTCGACCTCATCCATTTTCAAACTTTCACCATCGACCTCTTTGCGACCGGGGACGTGCACGTGGTCAAGAGATGAACCGATCGAGACAGTGTTGTCAGCAACAACTTTTGCTGCTTTCTCAACATCATCCAGACTAGCGCCTGTCGCCGCAAGGGCTCCAGCAATCTTGTGGATGAGAACGGTACCAGCAATTCCTCTTCGACCAACCTTACCGCCCTTGGCCCTCCCAACGCCAGCGTCATCACCCATGACAACTTGTCTTGCATCAATACCGGCAGCTTTTGCCTTCTCGACGGCCATACCGAAGTTTAGCACATCGCCAGTGTAGTTCATCACCACGACGAGGACCTGGAAAACATTGTTTAGTACGTGTATTGACGTGATGAGAGCGTTTCAATGAGATGAGAACATCGTTGCGAAACCTGCGTTGCACAGCAATCGAATAACTTACACCTTTACTAGTATCAACGCGTTCGAGGATACATTTCCGAACTTGCTCAGCTGAGGGGGAAGCGAAGATGGTACCAGCGACAGCACCGCTCAACAATCCTGGGCCAACAAACGCCGCAAAGGAAGGTTCATGTCCTGACCCTCCGCCAGATACGATCGAGACCTGAGATTTTGCGGCATCGGGACGCAGGTAAACGATCTTGTTCTTTGAGTCGAGTGCGGTGTTCGGGTTGGTAAGAGTTATGCTCTCAAGAGCACTAGAGACCAGATGTGTGGGGTCGTTGATGAAGTGTTTTGCTTGAGCGAGGTCAGTGAGAGCAGCTTGGAGCGCTCAGATTGGACTTACAGGACATGTTGATTGTTGGTTCCAAGTCGCAATGTTGTTTACAGGGAGAGTGAACAGCACGCTCGAAATGATGTTTTAGCCGCAGTCATCGTCTGTTCACGGCCTGTACAGTTTTGCTTGCAATGGAGCGGGGGCGAGGGGGCGCGGGGCGCTTGTGGAGCTGTGGAGTGAGCGCCAATGCCAAGATGTTGCCAATAGCCGGCTGCGGCTGCCCGATTGATCAGAAGGCATACATGTCGACGAATCAACGCGGAGACACGTCCTGCTACAGCCATCTCGACGACGTGCAGTGAATCATGAAGCCCACAGCACAGCAGGGTGAGAGATCCATGAGATCTGAGAACAGGCAGAGCTTTTCCGAGGAATCGAGAAATACCGAAGCAGTGCCGACAGCTGACTGCGTCTAGGATGCCTCGTGATTCATCTCACATACAGGCTACACTCCTGAAGAAAGGGTGACTGTCCGTAACCTCCACTTCAAAGTTTCAGCCCTCGACTCCTCGCAATACGACCAACTTGATCCTTGGGCAGATACCACCCAGTCCACTTCTCTTCCAACCCCTGACTGACACCGGTGACTCGATCCCACGGCTTAGTTTCCTGCAAATACTTTATCACTGCGAAATCTGCATCACCTTCCGGGTCATACCCGAAGATGCTTTGCACAGTCTCTGGAGCTCCCCAAAGATTCCAGCTATGGGCATTAGCATCGGGACCAGTCACTCTAGGCTTCGAGGTTAAATTCCGGACGTCTACCATTGCAGGTGTGTCTCCGACCGACGCTACCGAGCTTTCGTCGCGAGCAATTCCACGAGGATCATGCTCGGCCATGTATATTCCGCCCATTATGAACGAGGCTTGCTGTTTGGCCCATGCGCGAGGCATGCGAGTCTTCTCATAAATGTCAACGGCTTCGGGGATAGTGAGTATCCCTCTGACAACTTCACCAAAGACACGACCAAGGAAAGCTCCATCTTCCTACGATCTTGTCAACAAACATTATCAATACAATCAACGTGCATTGAACCAACCATGGCAGTCGCAGCACCTTGGGCGAGATGATTGACCATGCTGTGAGCCGCATCGCCCATCAAAATTACATTCTTCTGCGGGCTGGACCATGATTCCAATGGGCCTGTAATCATGAGTGGCCATCGCTTGGACGAAGGTACAAGATCGAGAATCTTCTTCAGCCGAGGATCGACGTCTTTGTAGTACTCGCGCATCTCGGCCATGTCGCAATCGTCTTCAACATCAGTGACTGGCACATCTCGGAAATGCGACATCACTGCATTCCACTCTCTACCAGCCGAGATCGGGTATTGAATGATGTACCCCTTATCCAGAGACCAGACATCAATGTCGTTGCCAAATTCGCGAGCCTCCGGGACTTGCTTGTAGACATAATCATATGGCAGAACAGCTCGATATCTGTAAGGAGCATTCAGCTGTTGAAAGCGTCCAGTTCGTCAATAGCACACCTACGCAGCATTGTTCGTGGGAGCCCTAGGCTTAACATCAGGAAAAAGCGTGGTCCTTACGACCGACTTGAGGCCGTCGCTTCCGATGAGAACATCGAACGAATATTTCGCGCCCTTCACGGTCTCGACCTCGACAGGAGAACGCTCATATGAGAGCTTCTTTACACGAGAGTCAACCATAATCTTGACTCCGTGTCTTCTTGCACCCTCGGTAAGTCCAGTATGGAGATGGTGGCGATGCACCATCCACCACTGCGCCAATCAGTATGTCAATTCCAAAACGATCGATCCACTCACAGGGAAACCAAACTYCCTGACAGTCTTGGGATACAACTCCGTTCTTTGAATAACCTTTCCATCCTGTCTCCGCATGTTGATATTCTTGCATTGTACGAGGTCATCTCCGATTATGTCAGAGATGCCCCATCGGATGAGCAGTCTGGACACATTTGGCGTGCACTGGATCCCCGCGCCTATCTCGCCGAGCTCAGCTGCCGCTTCCAGTACAGTAACATCACAACCAGCTCGAGCAAGGGCTATGGCGGCTGTTAAGCCTCCTAGACCCGCTCCAACCAATCCGATCTTGATTGTTCGTTTCTCTGACTGGAAAGAGTCAATAAGTATGCTTTTGCATGATATCGTTCGCTCTTACCATTTTTGAAGTCAGTGGAAATGGAGATGTTTTGCCGAGGTTGAGCTTTGAGTGAATGTCTAAGGTCAGTTCATCGACTTGTTTTATATTAATGACAGTCGTTAATACTGGATTATTAACAATATATACGCTCGTAGAGGTCCGGTAGTTGGAAACTTGAATGTCATAAAGGACATTAAGCGAGCTGTGCTAAAGCTCAGATAATAATCTCAATAATGTGTAAGGATAACGCACGCATTGGTATGATTATGCGTGATTATGCATGATAAGCTAGCGGYAAAATTCCAGGTTTGCGGGAAGCGCACATAAATTTGGGTTGAACGGCCGATCCTGATTGAAAAGTATAATATCTACTTTCCGAACATGCTTCCTGTTTGTGTTGAATGCGAGTCTAATCAAAGGCTTTGTAAAGTCGAGAAATCCATCACAAGTTTTCGAAAAGCCTTTCGGAAAGCCTTTCGAAAAAGTACGAAACTGAACCTGTTTTGGGCCATAAGGCCTGCCAATTTGTCGGTGTATGGAGATGATCGACGTACGTATGCTTGATGAAGCCTTCCTAATAATGGTCTTTACCGCACTATGATCTGAGATACTTGTGATCTCAAGAGTGTGATTAGTCTGCCACGAGGCTTGGCCGTCATCACTCTGCTCACTTGAGACGTCTTTAATCACTTATTGAACAAAAGAACTTCGAAGGTCGATGCAAGAAAATTTCGTGCTGTTGCCGCTGTGTCGAAAGTAGGCGTGTTGAACGCTAATTACGGTCGACTCTCTAAGACTCTCCAAGACCCCCCCTGCCTCATGGCGTTACATAGTCCTATTCGCTGGAAAATGGCGATAACCTCAACCCTGTACCACAAATCGATATTCGCCACCTGGCTTGCCCTGCATTGGGATACACGCATCGCCGTCTCGACCCGTTGGGATGCCGTCAGGACAATCTCCGGAGAACTTTCCCGTGGTACATTCGGTGTACTGTGTGAAAACAATCACACCGCTGCTGTTGGGCGGTGCACTGATGGTGAACGAATTCATTTCGGTGTGCGATTCCTCGAAGGTGTAATCGTAAGAGAACGTGGTKGACTCCTCGATGATCTTGAAGAGGGATCCACCGACCGATTGACTCACGCCAAAGGTGTTGGAAGAGCCTCTCGTGACCGAGTCAGTTCTCATGAAGCTACACCCGTCGCTGCCGCTGCAGGTGATAACCGTTGAGATTGTCTGTGGCCTTCCTCTGGACTTGTAAACATCTCCACCTGAGAACTTGCAGCCGTCCCGTTTGGCTGTATGCTTCAACGCAAATGGAGTTGACCGCTTCATCTGGGTGACGTCTCTCAACGGAGCATCGATCGAGGTATCTCGCCGGCCGTTTGTAATCGGCGGGATCACAGGCTCACAAGTTTCACCTGGACAGCACCTTGCGATGCCTAAAAGGGACCGACATCAGAATCCATCATACGTGGGACTTGATTTGTGCCGTGTAACTCACCGTATTTTGGGGGCAGTGCGAAGGACCTGCAGGTACCGACGTTGGAGTCGCCACTGATGACGATGAGAGGATTGCCGCAGAACTGGGTGCCACGGGACTTTACTCGATGCGTCAGTCATAGCCACCCACTTTCAATATAATGGACATCACTCACAGGGTCGTCAAGAACGGCYATTGTACATCCTGGCGTCGTTTCAGTCAGCACAAAGCGGTTCCATACGAGCTCAGAACTCGATGCATCTCACATTTACCAATGCCTCTTCCGTCGTAGTAGACCATGTAATTCCCGTTAGAGTCTGTTGGCCAGTCTCGCAGCCTTGTAGAGACCTAACTCGTTAGATCAGCCACTATCCAAAGAGTCTCTGGGAGGAAAGAAGTACATCGGTACACTTTTCACCGCCTTCCACCTTGGGGAAAGAGAGCTCATGAATCGAGGCTGCAGCTGAATCGGTTCGACAGCCGGCCTCGCGGTACACATTCATGTGATCATCCTTTGTCTGAGCAAAGACGATGCCCGAGCTGGCGATCATAGCGATGAGAAGGGTCGCGAGGACCATGGTTGCCTATGTGAGGATGTTCGGAAGGATACTTGAATAAAGTGAAGTGCCGACAGTGATGTGAATCTTGAGTGCTTTGAAGAATGGAGAAGGCAGCGGAGGCGTGCTTTATATGGTCCATTTCGATGAACGCATGCACTCAAAGGAAACATCGTCGATTCGATTTGCAGACGCCTTCCCAATGTGCAAGCCGTGCGATGCGGCGCGCTCGGTGTCGTGCCACTCAGAAGCCGACATAGACGCCTCATTCSTTGACAAGACTCCATGTTGGTACCATATGTCATATTGCCAACCTTCAATCCTTCGCAGAGTCTGCGTAATTGGGCAGCATCTCGAACTAGAGGTACGTTCAGCTGCCACCCACTCGAAGAGGGAGCTGGACGGAATCCACTTCAGCGATGGGATATCGGTCTTGATTCGCGGACAGATGTGTTGGTGACATAGTAAAGTTGTGATAGAACGCTGCCTTTGCAGTGAGGGTAGCAGCCAACAAATGAGGAGCTTGATTCGGCAAGATGTAGAATCATGCACGCATGGTCACTCACTCTCTCAATGTAACGCTGCAGCATCAAGTTTTCCCGCCCCACATGTAGAAACGAAGGCGAAGATGGAGGAGCCGCTTTGACGCTCCAAGTTGAGCTCCAGAGCGGCAGGTCGACCCATTGGCACTACTTGCAGACTTCTGTGCTACTCTTTGAGAGGTCCCAGATGTAAGACTTCGTGGCTTTGTAGGCGATGCAACAGAACCTCGGTCGCTTGGACAGGTCCCCTATCCACGTCTTTTAATAGAGGAGACATTGTTGGCATATCAAACCGTGCCATTTGTCTAGCATCGTTTATGCGTGTTGCCCGTGTTGCATCTGATGGATACGTCTTCGTGACCTCGTGCATGTGCGCGAGTAGAGCTAGCCCGGCGCTACATATGCCTGGTACGAAACTATCCGCGATGATGGATTCGAAGGATTGAACCAAACATTACATCCTCGGGGCGATCGTTCGCGAACCTGCAGACTTGGTCATCAGCGTGTGACATCCAACCGCAGGTCCATGCCTGAACACTTGTCCAATCAGCTTTGTGAGAAGTGCTCGTGCAGGCGAAGAGCTGAACAATCGTCAAGATCAATGTTGGCTTTCGTACTCAAGAAGTGTAGTGAGCAGCTGGCGGATCAGCGGGCCGTAGAAGGTATAGTACCAGGTACCTTAGCTTCAGTACCGCAACTTGTACTTGCACTTTGCGTGTAGGTAGCCATGCATTGATGGTCAGAGCCCCTTGTAGGTTATATCGAGCGGCAAGACTTGGGAATTTCGAGTTTTCATGCCTCCTGTTCCACAGCTAGCACAATGCTGAGCAGCATGCTCCAGATCGCTTTTCGCGCGAGCCTGTAGAACTGGCTTTTGTTAGTTGCATCTACTCCCCCCGCGGTCAAGCTGCTCATTTCGAAGGGATTCCACTAACATGAGGCACAGGTGAGGTTGAAGCCCATGAAGTCTCTCGAGCCCCTAGCTCTGCAGATCCATGTGCGCGGTGGACCTAAGCGCCGGCATGTCCTCTCTTGGAACTATCGGAGAGTTAATGCGCTTTTGGTGGCACGCAAGCGCCGCCAAAGGATACCGCAATCATCATAACGTGGGGTGGCTGCAGGCTGCAGCGTGCTRATAAGAGAGAAAGAAGTTAGCTCGTGTCTTCAGGGGAGATGCGGGCGTCTACGAACGGGCGCCACCGTGCTCCATCTGCGGACTGGCGCACTTTGCCAGGCACACTAGTCTATTCGCTTTTTGGTTCGCGTGCAACCGCGAACAGAGCGGATTGATGAGAGTGTGAGTGATATCTCTTGTCGTTGCTCGTCATCATGCCAGGCGCTGCACGCAACGTTCATCCACAGATCGATCGCTGTGAGCTCGCACGCAGATCGACGGAGCTCTGGATCTGACACTTCGACAATTCGAATTCGCGAGACCTTAGTTATCTATTTATCCACTATTAAGCGCACGAACAGTAGCGAATAGCTATTTATTTCCTCCTTCCTTAAGTCCTATAGCCTTAACGTCCGTAATAGCCTTGCGCGAGCCTAGCTAAATTAAGTTAATTACTATAGTAATATCGGCGATAATAGTATTACGCTTACTAACTAACTAGCGTAGCTATGTAGTATATAGCCTTCCTATATCTATAACCTTCGCCTTTAGCGTACTAATAGTAGTTCCTTATTTCTTAAAGTTACGCTCTAATCTCTTAATCTTCTATATTATACGCTATCTATTCTCCTTAAGCTCCGTAATTATATAAGTAGCGCTAGTAAGCTTCTCTTCGGTAATAGCGAGTTTATCTTTAGTAGTAATAACGACCTAAATAACAAAGAACGCTTTATAGCTAGCCTTACTAAGTACCTTATAGTAGGCGTAGGCTTCCGTCTTATTAGCGAAAACTTTATACTAATTACCTAAATTACCCTCGCGATTACACCTAAAACTATTAGTTTTAGAGCGAATATCTTAACGAGTAACTACGAGTATAACGGTAGGATTCTTACTATTTATAAGGTAATAGAGTAACTATTCCCTTATTAGTCTTAATAATACTACTAGCGGCGTTATATTTACGGAGGTTAGCGCGCGTAGTAGACTTTTTCTTCTTATCGTTACTATCGGCGTTATTAAGCTAAATATCCTACTACGACTATATCGCGGACTAAAATTAGCTAGCTATTATAAGGCGGCGCTACGCGGAAGTTATAGCGTCGTCGGTAGAAGGAGTAGAGGAGCTAGCATTATCGCTAGAAGTAGTCGCTATTATAGTAGTAGTAGTAATAGTAATAATAGTAGAGGTAGAGGTAGCGGTAGTAATAAGGAAGTAATAGTAGGGAGCGGTAAGGTAAGAATAAGAATAAGAAAGAGCGGGGGAGTAAGGTAGCGGTAGTAACCGTATATATTAAATAAGTAGTAAACAAAGTAAGATAAAGTAAGGCTTAATTATTAGATATAGCGAGTATATCTACGAGTACTCGACGAGTAGCATTTCCTATTATCTATATATTCGTATGCTCGAACACCTTATTTATAAACTCTTAGTAAGGGCCTAATCTATTAAACTTATTATTAAACTCGTTCTTAATTATTATAGCTAGCTCTATCTTAGGATCTATTACTAGCCCCTTAAAGAAAAGCTTATTTACCTATTCGTAGACCTATTCGTTACGTAGATTAGCCCTCTAATACCTCTATATAAGAGGCTTATTATACTCCTATAGYATATTACTACCGTACTATCGGAGGTACTACCGTATCTCGCTACGTAGATAAAGATACGCCTATARATAGATTCGATTTTRCTTATTATCTACTACTCTACTATTAATCGRAAGCGGCTATTAAGAGTATACYTCTTTATACTATYRAAGAGTTAGTAATAGTAGGAACTTATCTAGTATAAACCCTTAAGCCTTAATRTYCTYRTYTATAGYAGCTATAGACTACTATAGTATAAGGAGCCCCTATTCTTCGTTACTATYCTTAGRGTAGTAATATAGYATAAACGGTATAYTACTAATAACGTAAGCCCTTTTCTTCTACTTCTAGATACGGTAGTTATTCTAAAGRAATAYAAAATCTAGTACCTYCTTACGGATAATAGGYATATATACGAAGAGCATTATAATACGGTCGGCCTTCTAGTCCTTTATAAACAAGCCCTAACTATATAGATTAAGGAAGTATTTACGCTAACGAGCTATAGATAAGGATTACTATCTCTACTATACTTTAATTCGTACGTTTATCTTACTTATACTATATCGAAAACAGTCCTTAAATGTTAGAGGCTATTTTATAGTTAGTATTCGCTAGCGCTCGTGCCGGCGTTCGTACCTTAGAGCCCTTATACTGCTTACGCCGGAGTGTTAGATAGGTATCTATAATATAGCGTGTCTCTACGCCTCGATCTATAGTAAGGATATATAGCCTATAATGTTAATTATAGGTACTCGTAGCTACTCGTAGGGGTATTCGCTTATATTATGCCCCCTTCTCGTATAGTTTCGAGATATTAAGCCTATACCGATAGCTACGTACGACTAGTAACCCTAATGTAAATCTAAATAATATACCTTAAATATATATTAATATACGTATATACTTAAAAGCCGAAGTACTCTAGTTTATAGTACGTATCTATCGACTAAGCGTAATTTATACCGTTCGTTAGAGGAAGTCTAGTATACTATCGAGTACGCTTTCGCCG